TTATGTATTTATTTATTGTATCTGTTATTAAAATCTGCTACTTTCTTAGAGTTTATTTTTTAGGAAATGATAGAATAAAATAAATTTTCTTTTTTATTTGTCATACATGTATAGTGTTTCATACACGAAGGTGGTGGAATAAAACAAAAAAATGTATCTAAATTAATATTTGTATTTTCATATTTAGAGCGTTTTAAATATTAATTCGTATAATTAAATTTGAGCCAATATGTTATATTATTTAACAACTAATATAACTTTCTATGTGTTAGTAGATATATTTATATGATATATGTAATAAAAAGTATGTTTTACTTTATAAACATTTGAAATATTTGTTAGTTATTTAATATTTTTTTGTTAAAATTATACATAGTATCAATTGGGTTAATGTGTATTTATTTTAAAGTTATTATATTAAATTAACATATTATTACTCATTCCAAAATATATAATATCAAGTGAATCTCGAATAATATATATATATATATATGTATGTATGTATGTTTGTATGTATGTATGTATGTATGTATGTATGTATGTATGTATGTATGTATGTATGCATGCATGCATGCATGCATGCATGCATGTATGTATATATATTTATATGGTCGAGTATTTAGTTTTGTTGTTGAAATATGTAGTTATATACAATACTTTAGATGTGAAATTGCGTGAATGCTTATGTGAATGCCAAATAAAGTTATTGACATTAATTTTTTTTATATTTTACACTTAAAAAAGTGTAATAAATATGAGAGTTTAGATTATAAAGAGTAAGATTTCAGTGTATAAAAAGTTGTGCATGAGGTAAAAACTTGTTTTTTAGGTATTTCAAACATTCATCCATAAATATTATACTCCAGGTATGTCCTTACTCCATTGAACTGGGTTAACAACCATAAGAAGTGTATAACCTTTGATGTTAGATCAACTTGCAAAAAAGGATGTCGAATCATATGTACAATTTCATCATTTTCAGATGTAATGGGTCACTCTCTCAAATGCATTATCAGAAGCCAGGACCTCACTAATATAGCGTTCATTGGGGTAGATTATAGGAGAGGAGTGCACAATTCTATTCATTATGGTACATTATTTTCTAAACGAGAGTGCATCATGCAACTATAAATATTACCAATACTTGGTTTTATTATATTTAGTAAATATATTTTTGTCGCCTTTAAAGACGTGGAACTAGTCATTAATCTTGACATACTATACAAAGTATGTTTAACCCATAAATTAAAAAGTGAAATATTATCCATTGTTGCTTATTTTTTATTAAAACATGTCCTTAGTAAAAAGAGAGAAATATATAATCTTGAAGAAATAAAAATATGATCTGGAAATCGCCACCAAGGCGGAGGAAGAGCTGAGGAAGAAATAAAAATATAATCTTGAAAGTAAATTCTTTAATTGGTCTCTAATTATAGGTGGTTTTTCATATTTAGCCTCCAATTCTAAGATATTATATAAATGGTTCTTAATTTTAAAAAATAATTCCATAAATAGTCATTTAGGACAAGAGTGATTCTTACATGGTCCTAAGGTCAACATTTAAAATGTGGACCTTCTCCTATTTTTCATGTGGTTCTTAGGACAAATATGACAAAATATTTTTTCCGCATATAGTTCCTGAATGACATATCATTGAATAGTTTTAAAAAATTGAGGACAATTTATATAATTTCTTAGTATTAGGGACTAAATATATAAAATTGCCTATAATTAAAGATTCTGTATGGAGTTTGTAACACCCCAATCCGTATAACCCGGAATTACACGAATTAAGGTGACACGAGAGTTAAATAAAAATTTCGCTTGACATTTGAAAATGACAATTACTTATAAATATTAAATTTACAGACTCTGGATCGCGACCCATTTAAAAATATTTTCAGAGTAATACAGAAATACAATAATAATCAAATCATGACCCATTTTAAAATCCGATGATCAAACATTTGCCTGCCATTCTTGCATCTCCTCTGACTCAATACCCTCCGGGAATGGTTCCATCATTTACCTACGTGTAGTCAACGAAAAATACAAACTACACGCTCAGCGAAACCGCTGAGTGGTACCACACTAAAATTGTAGAATGATTCATAGACATATACATTTACATATACATATGTATACGTCCACAAAATGTATAGTAACATTCATGATATGGCACATATTATCATATGGTCAATTTGATGAATCATGATGATAAATATTTAATGATAATTACATGATGGCACATTTAATCAATTTGCTTGTGAGGATGATTACATGATACCTATGTAATCAATATACTTTTTCTTGATGATGATTACATGACACCAATGTAATCAATGTAATTGTACTTGATGATGGTAACATGATGCATGATCCTTTAACTTGCAAGGACACCGTTGCGCTATGAGATTCGCCCATTTGGTACAACGAACTCACGCGGCCTTAGTCTCACGAATGAGGTGAGACTAGAAAAATAGGGGTGGTACTCGAAACCTGAATACCATGTACGTACACTAAGCCCGGAACTGGTGATGTCGGACTAGTAAACCCCGCACATCATGCTATAAGAGACGCAATTACGCATGATCTCTTACGCATGCATATGATATGATATGCTACAATATGTGTGATGAAATGAATGATATGACATGAACAATTTGTAAATAATATGAATATATAATCATGCATTAGTTTATTTGGATGACACATGATTAAAATATCATTTAATTAAGCTACGGGGCTCGGAACGGTCGACTATTTGGCGTGACGGTCGACCTTGATCTTCATCAGGTCGTATTGGCGGATCACCGTGATGGTCGACCGCGGTTGACCGGCGGCCGACCGTTGTTGACTGGCTAGAGATGATGGCCTTCGGTTGGGCTGGCGGCGGTCAACCGTTAGCCACCGGCGGTCGACTGTTTGGCTGACAGTCGTGGTCCGTTTCGATGTTTAACGCGATAGTCAACCGTTTGCGTCGACCGTTTGGGTCTGCGAATCTTTCTCTTGATATTTTGAGTGTCCAAACTACTTCTTTAAGTCTTTTAAACACCTTTGATTAACATATACATATTGTTGGGTTGACTTCCAAAGTTTATATTTACTTATGTGTATATTAACTTTATGGATTTGGTGTATTTTGATCTCAACATATAGATGACTTATATATGCATCACATATATATTTTGGGATGATTTTAACATATGGATTAATATATATGTTCATGTATGTATGTGATGAATGATTCGACAAGTCTAACGCAAGGGTACAGACCTGTAAATCATAGGCCGAAACCTTACGGATGAGCGGGAGTGGAAACAACATTGAAGTTCGCCAACTTTGTCATTTTCGTCACAACTGGACAGCCTGCGGTATTTTGGGCATATCTCCATCGTTTTTTCACGGAATTGTAAACCGTTTGATTCTGTGGATTCCTAAGACGTAAGGCTATAACTTTCATATAGAAAGTATTTCGGTTTAACAGATGTAAGATAGCGTAAATCGGACCTGAAGTTAAAGAATAGTTGCTGTCCAAGATTTCGGATATGTCGATGAGCAACGATTCCGACGATTAACTCATTAACTTCAATATTCCAACACCGAACCTTCTCTACGATACCTTCCGGATGTTCCTAATAATCGTTAGAGAGTTTATGGTAAGTGTTTGGAATGAAACAACATGGATATGGTGAAGAAAGATAGCCAACCCGAGGAGCTCGCCACCACTGGCGCAGTCCCGTTATTTTGGCCATATCTCCTTCGTTACTTAACGAAATCGCGAGCCATTTGTTGGGCTGGATTCATATCATCCGGGGCTACAACTTTGGTTCAGAAAATATTTCGAGATAATGGACGGAAGGTTTCAGTTTTTACCTTGAAGTGGCTGCTGCATTTTTGAGTTCAAGAATTTTGGATACTTGTATAGTTTCTTCTTGTTTCTTCTTCTTCCATGGACTAAATGATGAGTTCTTGTAGTTGTGTTGTTATTGTTTGTGTGAGAAATCAAGAATGGAGGGACATGATGGTGTGTGATGATGGTGGAAGATGATGATGGTGGTGGTGAAGTTATGTAGGAAAAGGGTGAAGATTTGGAGTGTAATTATAGCCATGTTGTGTTATAGACTAGGATTTATATTTTAGTGATAGTAGGGATCCCTTTGTGGACTAAGAGAGATTTTAAGAGATCTCACAAGGTGGCATACGTGATTTGGTAAATAAAGTTTTGGCTTTTTGCCAAAACTGAACAATTTATTCCAAAGGGTACGCGCTTTTTTGCCCAAACTGCTCCGAATTGAAAACGGATTGTATTTTTGAAATGAAACTGTCAAAACTAGAATTTTGATATAATCAAAATATTTTTCTGAGAACTTTTATTTTTCTTAATGTCTGGGTCTCTCTCTATCATAAATTAATTTAACAATATGAATGAGATAAAAATATATGAATTCAATCCAATGATTAATATGATGTTGTCAAGTGTAAAAGATTAAGATTTCTAATCTTATGAAATCACTTTTGAATTGAGTTTATTTTATGGTTCAAAGTTACAAATTTTAATATTTAAAATTATCATAGCTTGAAATCTATAAATCAGATTGGTTCATAGAATGTACCGTTGAATTCGTCTCTTCAAGACATATCCATAAAAATAAGTTTTTAACAAAAAGTCATTATTTTGAAAATCCCTTCATTTTTGGTCAAACGTAAAATATTTCTTTATTGGATCAAAATGATATTCAAAATTACTTTTGTTTTATAATAAATTTTAGGCCTTATTTTGTGGCGTTACAGAGTTACTCTATTTCTTGATAATATATTTATAATTTAAAAGAAAAACGATTAAAATAATAGTAAAATATATCAAAATTAGAGTTTCATGTTTTTATTCTCAAATAGAAGTTTATATATATATATATATATATATATATATATATATATATATAGTTGAATACTACTTATATATATATAAATGCTTTTAGAGAGAGAAAAATCCTCAGGCACTACTGCCAGAATTCATGGCCGGAAAAAGCTTTTCTCGGAAGTTCTTAACACAATTTCTGAAGAAGATAAATTACAAGGTTCAGTTCAAGGTGATTTCAAGGGATGTCCTTCAGTATCCTTCACACCTGAAGATATTCAGAAGCTTTCCAGGAGATTCACCAATGCTTTGATTGGTACATTTGCTCGAAGGCCAGCTTATGCAATCTTGAAGAACTTCTTGCAGAAGCTTGGTCTGCAGGGGGAATTTTCAATTGGAACACTATCCTTTAATCAGGTTCTTATTAATTTTCAGTATGAAGAAGATTATCAAAGGGTGTTTCTTAGACAAACTTGGTCAGTAGGTAATCAACGTATGGTGGTTACCAAATGGACTACTGATCACACAGAAGGGATTGATTGTCCTGTGGTTCCAGTTTGGGTTAGCTGCCTAATCTTCCCATCTTTCTTCATGATCAGAGAGCCCTTTCTATAATAGCTTCTGATTTAGGAAGGCCACTTAAAGTGGATGAAAGCACCCTCAGGTTCTCTAGACCAGAACTGGCTCGTTTTTGTGTGGAAATTGATGTCTCCAAGCCACCCCCTTCTAAGATTCATATCAACCTGTGAGGGAAAGACTTATTTCTCCAACTGGTGTATGAAAATATTCCACATTATTGTTCTTCATGTTCAAAACTGGGTCACTTGAAAGGTCACTTTAGGAATCAAGAGAGGGAACTCAAACAACCAGTCCAAATCAGAGAAAACAAGGGCAAAGAGATAATTGGAGAAAAGTGGACTGTTATTACCTCCAAAAGAGGTGGGTCTGAAGCTGTTTGGAAAAGAAAACTGGGTCCCTCTTCTGGTCCTGGGGAATGTTCCAATTCATGTGAGGCACAACAACTACAGGACAAGGACAAGGACAAGGAGACCCCAGTGCCAGTAGTACACTGTCCAGCCCCTCCAACTTCAGCTCCCACTTCTGCTCTTTTAGACCATACACCTCCTCAAGGCACAGAAGTTTCTCCAGACAGTGAAGGTAATAATATGGCATTGGTTTTGAGGAAACCACTGCCTATAGCTGAATCTAAATTCTCACCACTCCTGCAACTTGAAGAAGAAAATGAAAGTGATGAATCAGATTATGAAGACCTGGGAATTAAGTATGATTATCCCTGCAATTCCAAAAGCCTCCCACCAATTACAGAAAAAGTTAAAGAGATCCAGCTCAATACCTCAATTAAATCCAGGCTTAGATCAGCCAATAAGAGCTCAAATCACTCAGTTTCCCAATGAATGCTCTTTTTTGGAATGTTTGTGGTATCAAGTCTTCCCTCAATAGACTTATACTTCTCAAGAAATGCTATAATTTCATTTTCCTAGCTGTCTTTGAACCTATTGTGGAGGAAAAAAAACTGGACTTTTACAAACTCAAGCTTGGCTTCAATCATGGATTTTCAAGTCAATTTAACAAATGTTGGATCTTCTGGGATAGTGATAAACTCAGTTTATCTCAGGTACAAGAAGGTGAACAAGTTACTACCTGCCTTTT